CATCATCATCAGCAGCATCATCATAATCGTTATCATCATGGGCATGCTCATACTCATATTTAACACTATCAGCATCATCATAATCACCACCATCATCATCATCATCATCATCATCATCATCATCATCATCATCATCATCACCATCGCCATCACCCTCCCCCTCCCCCTCCCCCTCACCACCACCACCATCACAATCACCAGGATCATGATGATAATCAACATCATCATCAACATCAGCATCAACGGCATCAGCATCAACGGCATCATCATCATCATCATCATCATCATCATCATCATCATCAGCATCATTCTCATACTCATCATCAGCGCCAGCATCAGCATCATGGTCATCGTCATCATCATAAACATCCCCATCAGCATCAGCATCAGCATCATCATCATCATCAACGCCCTTCTCTTCGACCGCGTGGCCTGAGTCCCCCCCGCCCTGCTCCACCTCTGGTCGTCCGTGTCGCACTAACACCTTCTCCTCCTTCTCCCCTCCGACTCCTACTTCCTCTCAAAAGAAAAGCGTGTAGGATGTAAGAAGGGGTGGGAGGCGACAGCCACGGGGGGTATCTTGGTCTGGGCCAAGTGCCCATTTTGCCCAAGCCCCGGTCCGCCCCCCAGGCTGTTGAGGAGCCAGACATGTTGTAGGAAAAGTGTCTGGTCCTCTTCCCTCCTCCTCCTCCGCCTCCCCCTCTTCCTCCTACTTTCCCTCGTCCTCCTCCTCCTCTCTCCTCCGCCTCCTCCCCATCCTCCTCCTCTCCCCCCTCCCACCTCCCCCTCCCCCTCCTTCTCCTCCTCCTCCTCCTCCTCCTCCTCCTCCTCCTCCTCCGCCAGCTCCTCGACCACCTCTGCCCACCGCATTGTCCTGGCCGGTTGGCCGTCCACTGCTGCACATGTTCTCTTCATCGCACCCTAACGGCCCTCCTGGCCGTTGCTCCGCGTGGAACCTGGACAATTCCGCGCCGATTCGCCGCGACTACTGACTGAGCTGCGCACCACATGAAAACGACGACGAAGAGGAGGCGGAGGAAGAGGAGGAGGAGGATGAATCTGCTGATGCCAAAATGGTGACGTGCCCCGCTGTCCTGACCCCCCACCCCCCCAGGAGGCCACAAGCAAGAAGTCCACAAAGTCGATGTCGCCATCCTTCATGCGCTTGAAAAGTTTCTTGCCACCCCCTGCTGTCAGGCCCATGACCTGGAGGGGCGCCGCTTGAGGAGGGCCCAGGGGGCGATGGAGCACGGGCAGACGCAACGGCAAGGGGCAGGAGAGGAGGCAGGTAGCAAAAGTGGGAGGGTAGTGTGCAACGGGCTGGCCCAAGGCCTCGAGGGCAAAAAGCTGGATAATGAGAGGGCGCAATGGGGATGCGCACGAATTGAATGGATCCATGTTTATCATCATCGTCATCGTCATCGTCATCGTCATCGTCATCGTCATCGTCATCGTCATCATCATCATCATCATCATCATCATCATCATCATCATCATCAGCATCCTCCTCATCATCATGCATCCCCAGGCCGAACGCTTTTTCCTCTGGGGCTAAAAGTACGAGAACGCCTATGGATCCAATTGAATTTGCGCGGACGCGCGACAGCGTCGTGGATCGTATTTCTGTCTTGCGCAGATCCAATTTCCCGTGTGTGACAAGCAATGTGTGTACGTATGTGTATATATAGATGTATTTTCCTGGAACGAATGTGCAATAGGAATATTATTAACATTTGAAAGTAATGAAACATACAAATAGTTAACCATCCCGGACCCAGGGGGCATGGGATCCGCGGGGCACCGCACGTGAAGCATCCTGCTATCCACGGAACTGTGGATCTGCTCACCCAAGCTATGACTCTACGTGGGAAGGGGTTCTTCCTAAGACGGAGAGGGAAAGGAGGAGGGAGGAGGCACGAAACCGAAGAACGCGTCTACATGTACCCGCTCACCTGAACGGCACGTCGCTTCGGACAGATGGGGCACAAGAGGGAAATCCTTCGGCCTGCGTAAGCGGGGTTTCGAACTGCGTCTCTCCCACAAACACTTTCGCAAATGTCTGGCGCGGGGTGCCAAATCCTTCAACTGCGTCTCTCCTACTAACCTTTCGCGAATGTCTGGCGCGGGGTGCCGGATCCTTCATCCCCAGGCCGAATGTTCCCCCTTGGACTGAAACACCGATGGATCCAACTGGATCTTTTTTCGGGTGTGCGGCAGTGTCGTGGATCCTATTTCTGGCCTGCGCGTATCCAATTTCCCGTGTGTGAAAAACCATGAATCCATTTATTTTCCAGGAGTAAATATATACTTATTAACATTCAGGACCCAAGGGAAATTGGGTCCTCGCGCGTGGAGCATCCTGCTATCCACTGAACTGTGGACCTGCTGCCCAAGCTATGACTCTACGGGGGAAGGGGGTCTTCTTAGAGAGAGGGGAAGGAGGAGGAGGCACGAAACCGAAGAGAGCGCTACATGTATCCGCTCACCAGAACGGCACGTCGCTTCCGACATTTGGGGCTCAAGAGGATAATCTTTCGGCCTGCGTAAGCAATCATCATCATCGACATCACCATCATCGTCATCCTCATCATCCTCATCATGATCGTCACCACCACCATTCTCATCGTCATAAGCATCATCATCATCGTCATTGTCATCACCACTACCCACATCATGCTCATCATCATCGTCGACGTCCACCGCCATCGACACCACCACCATCGTCAGCATCACCACCATCATCATCACCATTACCACCACCACCATCGTTATCATCATCACCACCACCACCATCATCAGCATCGTCATCTACCTCATCATCTTCATACTCATTTTCAGCTTCAGCTTCATCTTCATAGTCATGGTCAACTTCACCTTCATATCCATCAACATCAATTTCTTAATGTTCGTTGTCATCACAAACTCCGTCATCATAAACATCATCAGCACCACCATCATCATCATCATCATCATCATCGTTGTCAGCATCATCACCATTCCACTCATAGCCATCATCACCATCACCACCAGCATGATTACCATCATCATCATCATCATCATCATCATCATCATCATCATCATCATCATCATCACCATCACCACCACTGCCATCATCATAATCATCATCAGCAGCAGCAGCATCACCATCGTCGTCATCGACGTCGTCATCGTCGTCGTAATTCGTCGTCATCGGTCTAATCAAACCTGTACCACCATCACCATCACCATCATCCTATCCTCATCCTCATCCTCATCCTCATCCTCATCATCATCATCATCATCATCATCATCATCATCATCATCATCATCATCATCATCATCATCATCATCATCATCTCATCCTCATCCTCATCCTCATCCTCATCCTCATCCTCATCCTCATCCTCATCCTCATCCTCATCCTCATCCTCATCCTCATCCTCATCCTCGTCCTCGTCCTCGTCCTCGTCCTCGTCCTCGTCCTCGTCCTCGTCCTCGTCCCCGTCCTCGCCCTCCTCCTCCTCCGCCGCCTCGGCACAGGGACCAGGAACGCCATGTGGTACTCGTTGGACGCTCTCTCCCCCCCTGGCTCCGTCCCCCCTGGCCTTCCCGGTCCCTGGCGGACGCGGCCGCGCGGCGCTGCGGCCCAGCGGCACGCTGCCGCTTAACACTGTCCGTCAGCCGCGGTGCGGTGGCCCCCTGCCTCCGCGGACCGTGCGTTTCTCCGGGGCCCGCGGCCGCACGGCGTGGCCCCCGTGGCCCGCGGCCTGCGCACGGCCCCGTGGCCCACAGATGGCCCCGCCTTGGAGCTGGGCAGCGCGCGGTCCGCGGGGCGCGGCCTCTGCTGCCCGCCGCTCGTGGCCCTGCGGCTCCGTCCTCGGGCAGTCTGGCCGCCCTCTCGGGCGTCGCGTTTCCGGTCCCGAGGGGCGACCAGGCAGGAGGAGGAGGAGGAGGAGGAGGAGGAGGAGGAGGAGGAGGAGGAGGAGAGGATGGGGGAGGGGGAGGGGGAGGGGGAGGAGGAGGAAGAGGGAGGAGGAGGAGGAGGAGAGGAGGAGGAGGAGGAGGGAGGAGGAGGAGGAGGAGGAGGAGGAGGAGGAGGGGGATGGGGGAGGGGGAGGGGGCGGAGGAGGAGGAAGAAGAGGAGGAGGAGGAGGAGGAGGAGGAGGAGGAGGAGGAGGAGGAGGCGGGGGATGATGATAATGATGATGATGATGATGAATGATGATGATGATGATGATGTGATGATGATGATGATGATGATGATGATGATGATGATGATAATGATGATGATGATGATGATGATGATGATGATGATGAGGATGAGATGAGGATGAGGATGAGATGAGGATGAGGAGGAGAGGAGGAGGAGGAGGAGGAGGAGGAGGAGGAGGAGGAGGAGGAGGAGGAGGAGGAGGAGCAGGAGGATGAGTCGGAACCCCTTCGAAAATCGACCTCCCCCGGGAAAAGTCATGCATGAGCGACGCGTGCTGCCCCCCTCTGGAAGAGGAGTCGCCGCGGACTTCATACCCGCTTCGGGTCTACGAAGGGCGACCAGACACGAATCGCAACCCCTTCGAAGATCAACCTCCCCCGGAAAAATCATAAATGAGCGGAAGAAGAGTCGCCGTGGACTTCATACCCGCTTCAGGCCTACGGTCGGGAACTTTTGCTGAGCGTGTGGCGACGGCGGCCCCAGCGACACGCTGTGCCCCGCGAGCGGATGGCGTGCCGCTCCGCTCCGCGGGGCGGGAGGCTCGGAAAGGCTCGGGACGTGGACGTCTGGGGGCCGCGACGTGGACAGCGTGTCGCTCCGAAGCGTGGTGGGCCAGAACCAGCGGAGCGACACGCTATCCAAAAGCTCCCGACCGTAAGGCCCTAGTGACCACTCGCGTCCAACCCGCTCCGTTCCAGATGCTCGCTCTTCGCCCCATGGCGTGCGGCGCGAGCCTCCAAAGTGTCCTTGTCCCGAAGGGCGAAATAGAGTTCCTGCGCGGCCGCAGGGCGTCCTCTTCCTCTGGACCCTCCGTCGCGAGCGCCTCCTGTCAATCAGAAGGCAAGATCAGTCAACATCGAATCGGCAAATCGGATCGAATCGAAATGTGCGTCGGATCGGGCTGCCTAGGAACGGAATCAACATCGAATCGGATCGCCTGCGCCTGGACAACAACGCCATGCAAGCATCGGGCCGCATCGAACCCTCAGAACATCGGGATCGGACTGGATCGGGCTGGCCGGAGTCGAGTCGGATCGGATCGATCGGATCGAAATAGACCCCCCTGCAGGTGGCCCAAGAGGCGTCTGCAGCCATGACAACCGCACTCGCAACGAGCAGGGGCAAGAGCAGCAGGAGCAGCATCCGCGGCAGGAGCGGCAGCGGCGGCGGCGGCAGCAGCGACGGCTGAGGCTGCGGCGGGAGCGGGAGGGCAAAGTCCTGGTGCCGACGTGCTGTGTGCAACCCCGTCTTCATCCGCGTCCGCCTCCTCTTCCTCCTTCTCCTCCTCATCCTCATCATCATCGCTACCTTTCCCTCCTTCCTCTTTCCGCCTTCCTCCTTCCTCCTCCCCCCTTCCTCCCTCCCTTTTCCTCCTTCCTTCTTCCTCCTCCGTCCTCCTTCCTCCTCTCTCTCCCTTTCTTTTTTTCTTTCTTTCTTTCCCTCTCTCTCTCTCTCTTTCTCTCTCTTGTTCCCAGCCATCCTGTGGTGTTGGGTCCTCGTTTTGAAGAGCCAGCGCCCGCGTCCCACCTCCTCCTCCTCCTCCTCCTCCTCCTCCTCCTCCTCCTCCTCCTCCTCCTCCTCCTCCTCCTCTCCTCCTCTCCTCCTCCTCCTCCCCCTCCCCCCATTCCTGCCCCCGCCCTCCGCATGTCAACGAACTCGGCACCCCCTTCACGGGGTTCGTGGCCGCATAGGGTGCTCCACCGAGGGCACCAGCTGCAGGGTTCGCATGCGCCTGGCGCCCATTTCGGCACACCCCTCACACGGTTCGTGGCCCCATAGGGAGCTCCACCGAGGGCACCAGCTGCAGGGTTCGCATGCGCCTGGCGCCCATTTCGGCACACCCCTCACACGGTTCGTGGCCCCATAGGGAGCTCCACCGAGGGCCCCAATGGCAGGGTCCGCATGCGCCCGATGCCCATTTCGGCACACCCCTCACACGGTTCGTGGCCCCATAGGGAGCTCCACCGAGGGCCTAGCGGCAGGGTCCGCATGCGCCCTGCGCCCATTTCGGCACACCCCTCACACGGTTCGTGGCCCCATAGGGAGCTCCACCGAGGGCCCTGGCTGCAGAGTCCGCATGCGCCCTGCGCCCATTTCGGCACACCCCTCACACGGTTCGTGGCCCCATAGGGAGCTCCACCGAGGGCCCTGGCTGCAGAGTCCGCATGCGCCTGGCGCCCATTTCGGCACACCCCTCACACGGTTCGTGGCCCCATAGGGAGCTCCACCGAGGGCCCCAATGGCAGGGTCCGCATGCGCCCGATGCCCATTCGGCACACCTCTCGCACGGTTCGTGGCCCCATAGGGAGCTCCACCGAGGGCCTAGCGGCAGGGTCCGCATGCGCCCTGCGCCCATTTTCGCACACCCCTCACACGGTTCGTGGCCCCATAGGGAGCTCCACCGAGGGCCCTGGCTGCAGAGTCCGCATGCGCCTGGCGCCCATTTCGGCACACCCCTCACACGGTTCGTGGCCCCATAGGGAGCTCCACCGAGGGCCCCAATGGCAGGGTCCGCATGCGCCCGATGCCCATTTCGGCACACCCCTCGCACGGTTCGTGGCCCCATAGGGAGCTCCACCGAGGACCTAGCGGCAGAGTCCGCATGCGCCCTGCGCCCATTTCGCACACCCCTCACACGGTTCGTGGCCCCATAGGGAGCTCCACCGAAGGCCCAGTAGCGGGGTCCGCATGCGCCCGACGCCTATTTCGGCACCTCCCTCGCACGGCTCGTGAACCCGCAAGGAGCTCCCCCGAAGGCCCCAGTGGCAGGGTCCGCGTGCGCCCGACGCCCAGTTTGACACACCCTCACACGGTTCGTGGCCCCAGAAGGAGCTCCACCGAAAGCGGTACCCACAACGCGGTACTCACGACAGCGTATGGTTGGGTCCTTCGCCAAGAAATCTGCTTATATTCCTGTTTCAATATCTTTACAGTCCGGGGGGGTGGGACCCCTCCCCCCGGGAGACCAGACTCCCTGAATCCCTGAATCGGAAGCCCCGGACCCCCCACATTCCCTCATCTGTTTCGTGTCTGCGGCCCCCGGACGCCCTTCTCAAAGGTCCCGCGAGACTTCCAGGCCTCTGGACGTCCCCGGCGTCCCTGCGAAAGCCTTGGCAAGGGGCCAGCGGGAGGCTCCCAAGACGGTCCAAGAGGGCTCCGCGACGCCCAGAAATCGGCCCCAAAGCCCAACATGAGCCCAAGACGGCCCAAGAGGCCCCCAAAACGCCCCAAGACCCCTCCAAGAGGCCTCTGAAGATGGCCCCAGTGGCCAAAATCGTTGATTGTCAATTGCGTTGTTTCTATGGTTTCGGCCTTCTCGCCTTTTCGGCATCCCGACGCTTCAAGACGGCCCACGAGGCTCCCAAGAGCGCCTCAAGACGGCCCAAGAGGGCCCCAAGACGGCCCAAGAAGTGCCCAAGAGGACCTAAGAGGGCTCCGAGAAGGCCCCAAGAGGGGTGGCCTCCAAGACGGCCCTGGAGCACCCCAAGAAGGCCCCAAGTCAGCCCAAAGAGGCCCCCAAGACATCTTCCGACGGCGTTAGATGGGCCAGGAATACCCTGAGACGGCCAATGAGGCCCCCGAGAAGCCACCAAAGGCCCCCAAGAGGCCCAAGGAGGCCCCCAAGATGCCTCCAAGAGGCTCCCAGGAAGCTCCTAGGAGGCCCAAAGAGTGCCCCCAGAGGCTCCTAAGTTGCCCCCTCCTCCTCCTCGTCCTCGTCCTCGTCGTCCTCCTCCTCCTGATCTTCCCCGCCATCCTCCCTCAAGTGTTCCCCGAAGGGTTTCCTCAAGGGTTGGGGGAACATATGGTCCGATAGCTTGGCAGAGCTCTTGCCACAACGCTCGGCTACATGAGCGATTTTATCAGGCAGGGGGCGGCGGTGATTCGCCGTAGGCGTCTTAGGTATTTTCCAATATGTTCTTGAGATTCGTCTTCCCCTCCGTTTCCAATATTTGCATACCTATGCGACCACCCTTCGGAAGGAGGTTGTGTGGTGGACAGTGCAGCTCTCGATGTGCGATTTGGGTCGGATCGGATTCGGCAGAAACCAGTTGGGCACCATGGAGCATCTGTTTGGCATCTATTTATCGATATCGCCCTTTATGTGTCTATCGCTCTCACTGTCGATCTCACTCCATCTATCGATCTCACTACCTATCGATCTCACAATCCACCTCACTATCGATCTCACTGTCGATGTGTTTATCGATTCCACGATCGATCGATCTATCGAGCTCACGGGACACCACGGGACACAATGGGCAACCAGGGGACACCGCGCCACGGGGCACCACAAGACACCACGGGACACCGCGCCATAGGACACCACGGGACACCACGGGACACCACGGGACACCGCGGGACACCACGGGACACCAGCGGGACACCAGCGGGACACCTCTCCAACCACCGCTGGCCAACCGGGGGGCGTAGAATCATTGAGCTCAGTTCAGTTTCGTCGCCGCTACGGCGAGTTCATTCCCCTCGCCCGCCCACGCAGCTTCGCCTCAACGCCCGCGCACACGACACGAACACGAAACCGAAATCGATGTCCCGTGGGGGGGGTCTCCTTTTCACTTCGCACTCGCCCCCCGACCTCAGATATTTTCGCAGACGATGGTTGATGTCTGTCACGAGTAGAGTTAAGTCGGGCATGTCCTCCTACAGGCTGATGTTTGAAGAAATGTAAAAGTGGCAAAGAAATATGCAAAATTGTCAAACATAGTCGAAAAATCGTCCCCTGACTATTTTATGACTATTCTTGGATATTCCCTCTGTAGAGGGACACGCACGCCCGACTTGAGAGTAGGGCCACCACAAGCTTGGGCCACCTGGGCTCTCCGAAGAGGCCCCAGAGAGGCCCGGGCGGAGGTCGGAGGAGGCCTTCAGTCGGTGGGGCGGGGCTCGGCGACGGCCGGGGCAGTGCTGGGCGACGGCTGGCCAAGCACCGCCCTGGCCGCCGCCAGGCACCGGGCCGCGCGAGCTCGAACAGAAAACAGACCGGTCCGCCCGACTAGAGGCCTGCCAGATGGGGCCCGAGCGGCTGGGGTCGGAGGATCGCCGCCGCGTCGCCGATAACATCGCCGATTACATCGGCGATGCGTCGGCGCCGTCGCCACGGAGACGATCGGGCTCCACAGCGAGCCGCACCGCCGACGCACCGGCGATGCGGCGCTGTGCTTCGACTCCGCCCGCGCAGGGCCCCCTCCGGGAGGCCCTGGGAGGCGCGCCGCCGTCCTGCCAGATGCCCTCGCTGGACGCGATGGCGTGGGTGGCGCGCAGCAGCACCCGCGGGCACGCCGCCCGAGAGGGGGCGCCTCGGGCCGGGGCTCTCTCGGCGGGCGGCGCGGCCGCCGTGGCCACTCCGGGGCTCGGGCCGCCGAGACTCGGACCCGGGAGTCCTTCGGCACGCCCTGGAGCAGGGCTGAGGAAGAACGATAGTCAGGAGGGAAAGAAACACACAGACACAATGAATCGTATATTCCCCAGACAATATGGGAAAATATGGGAAGTGGGGGGAAGACAATTATTCACTGCGTGGAGCTCCCCATATGTGCATCTATTCGCATGGACCTGTCCGCCGTGAATGTCTAGGCGCAAGAGCTTTCGAATATTAACGGGCTTCAGTTGTGACGGTCTGGACATCAATCTAACTGCGAATGAATTGGAGTGTGAATGAGCCTCAGTAGTACGAGCGCGTCTTTGTGCATGAGCCTGGGGCCTCCTGGGGCCTCCTGAAACCTACTGGGGCTTCCTGGGGTCTCCAGGAGCCTCTTGGGGCCTCCTGGGACCTCCTAGGGAGGTTTCGTGCCCCAGGAGAGGCGCAATATATAGCAACAGACGTACATAAAACATTGCGGATTAGAGCCACAGGAGAAGGGCAATCTATAGGAACACGCGTAAAACACCAAGGACTCGTGCCCCAGGAGAGGCCCAATATATAGAACATACGTAAAACATGTAGGATTGTGTACACAGGAGAAGGACAATCTATAGAAACATACGTATAACATCAAAGAATCGTGCTCCAGGTGAGGCCCAATCGATAGGAGCATACGTAAAACACATGGGATTGGAGCCACTCCTGTTGCCTTCTGAGGCCTCCTGCTCCTGGGGCCTCTCGGGGCCTCCTGTTGCCTTCCGAGGCCTCCTGGCGCTTCCTGTTGCCTCCTGGGGCCTCCTGTGGTTTCCTGAGGCCTTCTGGAGCTTCCTGGGGCCTCCTGGAGCCTCTTGGGACATCCTGTAGCCTCTTGAGTCTTTCTGTGGCCTCCTGATGCCTCCTGGGACCTCATGTGGTCTCCTGGGGCCTCCTGGAGCCTGTGGGAGCCTCCTGTGGCATCCTGAGAAGAATCTGCGCCCACGAGCCTGGCCACCAAAACAAGCAAACCGCTCGAGACATCCTCAAAATCTGGCCCACCTGGGGGGTGAAAATGAGCGCCTCGCTCGAGACATCCTCCAAATCTGCTCCGAAAACGAAAGATGCTGGCACAGAAAACAAGCAAACCGCTCGAGACATCCCCACAAAATTCCGCGAACGGGACCCCGTGAAATACCCCCCCGCCGCCCCCCTTAGAGTGCTGAGACGAGCGAATCGCCTGAGACATCCTCCAAATCTGCTCCGAAAACGAAACATGTTGGATCAGAAAATGGCCAAACCGCCTGAGACATCCCCACAAAATTCCGCGAACGGGACCCCGTGAAATACCCCCCCGCCGCCCCCCTTAGATTGCTGAGACGAGCGAATCGCCTGAGTCTGAGTGATGACTGAGTCTGAGTGATGAGAGAGCATGAGTGAGTCTGAGTGATGAGTGAATCTGAGTGGTGAGTCTGAGTGATGAGTGGTGAGTGATGGGTGTGGTGTTCTGTCCTGTTCTGTGTCCTTCCGGCGCGGTCCGCCAATAACAAGAACCCCATCTTGGATATGGGGAACAAGAACCCCATCTTTGGATATGGGGAATAACAAGAACCCCATCTTTGGATATGGGGAACAAGGATATGGGGAACAAGAACCCCATCTTTGGATATGGGGAATAACAAGAACCCCATCTTTGGATATGGGGAATAACAAGAACCCATCTTTGGATATGAGGAACAAGAACCCCATCTTTGGATATGGGGAACAAGAAGTGCATCTATTCGCATGGACCTGTCCGCCGTGAATGTCTAGGCGCAAGAGCTTTCGAATATACACGGGCTTCAGTTGTGACGGTCTGGACATAAATCTAACTGCGAATGAATTGGAGTGTGAATGAGCCTCAGTAGTACGAGCGCGTCTTTGTGCATGAGCCTCGGGCCTCCTGGGGCCTCCTGAAACCTACTGGGGCTTCCTGGGGTCTCCAGGAGCCTCTTGGGGCCTCCTGGGACCTCCTAGGGAGGTTTCGTGCCCCAGGAGAGGCGCAATATATAGCAACAGACGTACATAAACCATTGCGGATTCGTGCCACAGGAGAAGGGCAATCTATAGGAACACGCGTCAAACACAAAGGACTCGTGCCCCAGGAGAGGCCCAATATATACATATGGGTGGCCCTCCCCTATGGGCCCCCCTGTTTATTGATCATGATGAAGATGTTAAGCACTTAATATCTTACACATAACATGTCGTGGATACTGTGCTCAATGATCGATATGTATGTAGCATAGTTGCTGCGCTATGCCTATGTATATATGCTGGTGAATCATATGTGTTTGGGCACTGAATGATGTGTTGTTTGGTTACGTAGTCACATTGCACGAAAATGATATAAAACGCAAATTCTTAAAATCTGGAGGGGTGACGAAAAGGGCGTCAGCCATTTGAATATAAGCTTGGTTTAGTAAGTGGCAGTTCTTTCTACACGGCGCTTTGTCAGCACCGCAGCAGAGATTCAAGCGCAGAAGCCAAATGGTACGACGATAATATCATGGCCAGCGCAGCATATATATTGTATTCCCAAGCTACTCAATCTTCTGCTTTTTGGTTAGCCGTCTTTCTGGCTTGACCGATTCTTCCTTTTTCAATGAGCGATAACACAAGCTCGGCTGTTTCTGCATATTCAAGAGAAAGATAAAGTTTACCACTTTGCACGTCCATACTTCATATTCGATCGGTTCCATATGCGGCAGCTCTTCTTTCACTAATTTGTATAGCTGTTTATAAGTAAATCCAGCATATTGACACATCTTTTCCATCAGTCTGACGTTTGGCCCCGCTAAATCATATAACATTTCGTCCGGCACGTAGATCTCAGCATCATACGCAATAAAGATCCAAAGTAGAATGTGCACTGCTCTGAAAGCTCCAATGCCAGTAATATTTGAAAGTTTTTTAAACGATTGCGCGAACGATTCAAATATCTTCTCTGTTGTGTCGAATTCACGCATGAAGTCTCGCACCCAGTCAGTGTGATACCCATAATTGACATTGCAGAGCAGAGAACTACGTTTCACCTCAGATGTTGATCCCTCTGCCATTTTGCATCCTTTGGTTTCGTTCTCTGTGGTCAAGATGACGTGACGCATTTTGTCAATCGTTTGATTGCTCCACTCATCGTCAAAACATTGTTTGATACTTGTATATTGTAATAATTTTGACAGAGATGCAGAACGCCCACTGGCTATCATGCAAAGCATGATTGTCAATCCTCCTGGGTATACGCCACTGTCTAAATTAAGTTTTGCTACATATTCGCGTAATGATTTAGGCACTGGATCCCACTGAACGCGAGGATTGTGAATCTGAAACAAATTCATCATTGAAGATATACACCACGTATTGTTTTCCATTGCTTTTGTGACTGCACATTTTTGTAACTTGCCTGTTTTGCTATACAACTCAGACAAGACAAATTTATGATCCCGCACCTTCTCGACAGCATTGGACACTCGAATTTCTGAAACGTCTTGTTCTGTGTTTCGTTGTGCTCGTTCTATCCAAAGCGCCACCCAAAAGTTTGCTGCCCGGCGACAGAAGCCCCCATCGTTCGTAGGCGGTAATTGCCTAACAACATTTATCAAAAATGTCTCTGCGTTTTCACTTGTTAGATCATCAAGGTATTTACGCCCAGTTTTTGCCGCATCCATTCCGCTTCCCTTGTAATAATTGTAAAGTTCTGTACATGAATTGAATCTCGTAGCATCTTCAAATATGCCTGCTTTAGCCATTTATTGTGAGAGTACCTCCAATACAATGAATCACAATAGTTTACTTGAGCCAGCTGTTTGAGCCAGCTGTTTACGGAGAGGTGGCATGACAACGACATTGGCGTAATCATGATGACAACAGCAGAGCAAATTGTGTAGTGAATAGTTGGACAAATGAGAACTATGGCATGTACGCAACAAAAAACTGATTGAAGCCAATACAGCATAAGAAAACTTCAAGACGATCGCAGAGGTCCTGCAGGTGCCCAAGGAGAGTCTTCAGAGAGAGCTCACAAGGGCCCAATAACGACAATACAAATGAATATATCAAGTCTTTTACTGTTCCCGCGATGGCTCAAAGAGGCGTCCAACGTGAGACGCCCTCAAATCCCTGCAGTAATCTTGATGCTTGATTCCTGTCGGACACCGTCCTCTGACCCAGGCAAATCCTCCTCTTCCTCCTCCCTCTCCTCCTCTTCCTCCTCCCTCTCCTCCTCTTCCTCCTCCCTCTCCTCCTCTTCCTCCCCCCCCTCCTCTTCTTCCTCCCCCTCCTCCTCCTCCCTCTCCCTTCCCTCTCCCTTCCTCCGAGGAACTAGCGGTCAAGAGTGAAAGAGGGTGAACGATCTCCACGCACTCTAACTTATGCCCCCGTTGGGCGATGATGCATGCAATTGATTCCATGACAACCGCAACCCGCCTGAGCATAGTCTCTTCAACTTCAATGCCACATATGAACGACACAACTGGACGCCGAATATAGACACATAGGTGACAGAGCACATGGACGATCACTGTGGACACATAGGTTGCAGAGCGTATCATAAGCCATGTTGTAGCTATATATTCTCGCCAAGTTTGTGAAGTCATTGCGTATTGAATCATTTTTTTTTTTGTTTTTTTTTTTTTTTGAATTGTTTTTGTATCTCTCCCAATCATCTTGTATCAACTTGATTTTCCTATTTCTTCATTATCATCAACCTTTTTGTTGTATACATGCGATGTCTTTCGAACTATATCGCTCGCACAACATCTGACATCCTCGGCATTGCCAAAAAACTTACCAACAAATCTTTGAATCTTTGAATATTTGAACACTGATGTTTTCAAGGGTTCAAAGATTCAAAGATTCAAAGATTCAAAGATTCAAAGATTCTCCAGGCACTCCCGATCTTACCCGATGTAATATATTCATTCA